TATCCAGGATAGTGGTCCACCACCTCACTACCTGTTGTCTATTTTTTTTATGTTCTCCTAATATGTTACAATACTATTTCAAAGCTAAATTCGTTATATTGTACCCAGCAACATGATCACATTATTTCAGCATCGCTCTCTCTCCATATGCCAATGTCAATGAAACAGATGAACTCTACTTCACCTACCACATGGACTGTAACATTCTAAAGTGCACTTTTATATATAGGCGAACACTATATTGTAAATCCTTTACTTATTTATAATCATACTTGAATGAATGACACCTTGGCGATGCATCGTATTTCGTTATACCTGCTTGGCACCCAAGTTCCATTGCCGGATGTCGCGAAAAGGCGACAAACCGTAATTAGCAGATAACTTCCAAAATTATTCTCATATGTGATTTATACTGTTTATATACATAAAAGAGTGAATAATAAAGCTCGTATTTTTTGTAGCAAAAACGGACCACCTATTTAGTAATAATAATCAATGTAAGTAGGCTGATTTCACGAAGTCAAAACAATTACGATGCGCGTGAGTCAAGAGAGTGTGACGTCATAAACTTCGACTTGACAACGTGACCGTTGGTACCGATACAACCGTCTGGATGTATCCGATACACAACGACCAGCAGCAGTAGCATAAATGTACCTATGCGCAAATGCTATGCGCTAAATAGGTATGTCGAGAAAACGCGACTGTCGGCGTTAAGGGGATATATCAACCATCATTGTAACCTAGTATTTTGTCATCTTAAACTTTGATTAAATACTAAAATAGCCCAACATATTTCACAGATTCAAGCTAAGTAACAACCATAACTTTGGTATACCACAACTAGTAGTGATTCTCATGTTTATGATGAGAAATCTAACCTTGATTTGGCATTGATAGAAACCCCATTCCTCTGCCATTTTAATCTGACAATTGAAATAAATAAGCACTGTATAGGCCTAAAATGTAAAATACATGCATTTTTCTTTCAATTCAAGCAACCATTGGCGGAACTAGAAAAAAAAGGCTCCCCCGCAAAAAATGTTTTGGGCCCACCTATATGTATATATATGTATATATATATATATATATATATATATATATATATATATCCTAATATATAATGGACCATGTGCGCACTTCTCTCCCTCTCTCTGTCCGCAAAATATTTTCGCCGGACATCACATCAGAAACTGCAGCGATATATGAAGAACTTTATACGGACTTTTGTTGAAAATAATATGTTAGATGTTTTAAATGTATAACCACAATTTTATTTAAAGAAGCAAAATAAAAAATAAAGGCGTATTCGAATGCAGAAAAACAGTTTTAATTATGCAACCGGAAAAGTGTTTAAACTTGGGACAAGAACGCATTTAACAATGACGTCGCTTTTTGTTTACAATAAAAAAAAAAAGAGCACGAAACTGAAGACGTCATCTTCCGAGTTTAGAATAAAAAGAAGTGAACTATTTCATTCAAATATTATTTAGATCTACGTACGCTATAACATTTATACAATACAATTTTGCTCGGGCTAAACTTAAAAAAAAATTTCTATTAGGATTCTAAATCTAGATATTACGTGGTTTTTAAAAAAAGTTTATTTAATTTATATTATTAGTTTTTGAATACATTCATTTTTTATAGCTTTAGGGTTCTTTAGTATGCCTTATTTAAATAATAATTAAGAGAATACATTGCTTTTTAACTTACATAGTACAAAACTATTTAAATGAGCTTTATGGGCACCCTTATTTTAAAGAAGGGCAGTAAGTCATGGAAGTAGTGTGAACGTTTGCCTATTTTTCAAACTACAGCTCTTGTAGATTATATATTTTTCTACGCAACAGTGTGTGTAAGTTACTGTAGAACAATCACTGCTATAGTCGACCTGTTTGTTTTTTACAAAACCACTATCAAGGTGCGCGAAAAATACTATTTATGAAAAGAAAATTTATTGTTTTTTTTTGGTCGGAATTGGGCCTCTAAATGTCGTGCCCCCCCCCCCCCCCCCCCCCGCATTGCAGGGTCTGGCGGTACTGTAGTTCCGCCCCTGGTAGCAAAGCAACTCATTCTACAGCTCTGTTCAAAACTTTTCATATCCAAGTGAAACATGAGGAGCATGGAAATCCTAATATATGTTATCCTGTAATAAACTGACCTAATTTAATTTTGAACTATTTTTAATTGCACCATAATCAGCAATGCAAAAAATCTGCAGAGAACCTGAAAGTTTAACAGTTAAGAATGTATTTGATTCCCAACACTTATTTCATTTTTAATTATATTTTTAAGGTCATATTTTAGAACCCCAATTCTAGGAGCCCTCATACTAGAAGCATAAATAACATTAGTTTGTGATTAGCAAAAACAAAAGCACCCTAGGAAATCAGATTTTTATTTTTTTATATACATAGTATGAAATATCTAAATAAAATTATGCTGTTGATATTGAATTTTAAGAAATGAACAAAATAAAAAAAAAGGTAGAATAATATATTTTGAAATCACATTTACTATTAAAACAAAACAGCTCAATCTTATTAGGTATTACAATTATTTGTAGAAATCAACTCTAACAAAAGTTAACTCAAGTTTAGATGAAAAAAAAAAATAAGAAAAAAAATCATTTTTTAAGATGACTAGAGTACATACAATTGAGCCAGATAATAAAATCATAAAATACACTAACAATTCAAAACTGCTTAAACATTTAGGAAACTATTTACACTACTTAGTAATAACCAAATATAAGGTATACAATTAATATTTATTTTTATTGCTCACTAAAGCATAATCCTAATATATAATGGCCCATGTGCGCACCTCTCTCTCTCTCTCTCTGTCTGTCCGCAAAATATTTTCGCCAGATATTAGGATTCTAGATCTAGATATTCTAGATCTAGATATTCTAGATCATCTCGATCTAGATATTCTAGATCATCTAGATCTAGAGATTCTAGATCATCTAGATCTAGATGATCTAGATCTACGGAAAAACTAGACTTACACAGATGTAGACCCTACCTAGATCTAGAATCCATTCAAATAATACATTTCTATACTAAAGTATTTCAGGCCTTAATTACTTTATTGAAATCTTTGTTTATCTATGCAATTTGCTAATCTCTATAATATATAAAGCAAAGTTGTCGGGTGCCAGACAGGGCACTTCCCGGTGCCGCAGGCGCTTCAAATTTGGCAGGATCTTGCCTTGGGGCGACAGAACACAGGGGCCGGTTGGCCAAAAAGTCTACGATGAGTGGGTCAAAACTGACCTCGACTGACCGGCGCTTTATATGAGCTATAAATCGAAAAAAAATGTCCACGTAGGAACATCTTCATAACTCCTGAAGTCGTAGACCGACCCTCAGGCAAATTAATTAAGCATTCAAATTCTCAATGTTTTCGAAAGCCTAAGCGAAGCTGGGCAGCATGCCTAGTACATCATAAAACCTAACTTTGCTCTAGAATTTCACAACACAAACATCAACGGATCCCAGATGCTTAGATAACTGCTGGGGAACTCTACTGCTGCAGGGCCACCCCTCAAAATTATTATTTCATATATATATATATATATATATATATATATATATATATATATATAGCAAGTCATTTCATGCCATATCACATATCACAGTGTGAACTAATGGGAGTAATGAAATATTACAAAATTTCTGATAAATAACACAATTTAAAAAAATATTTTTGGGAAAATTTAATTTTTTTAAACAAGGAGTGTAAAATTTGCCATAGTTGAGGATCTATGTTGAAGGTACAAGAAACTTTAAAAATTAGATAATGGAGCATACTGAGCCCCAGGAAATAGATCTAGATCTAGCTCCTATTTTCCCTAGAGCATGATTTCGATATTTTAATCAAATACCTGCAGGGTCACAAGTCACACAGCTTCTACCATAAAATTAAAACAAAATGTCTTTATAATCCCCCATACCCCAGTTAACCCTAATTAACTATTCAAACATTGGCTCATATTTTGAATGAATTAATAGAAGCAAAAATTGCACTAAATTAAACAACATATACATTTAATACTGAGATAATGTATCACTGACTAGAAATATTTAATTTAATACTATTTTTAAGGTGTTTTACATTTATGATATCCACATACAAACTTAGGTTTTGACCATCCACTCCCTTTCTGTAACATGGATGCTTAGAAATACAATGGTTCTTTTAAAAATTACTTCCAATAAACTTAATTAATAATAAGTATTGTACAGAATATAGAATATTGATATTTTTAGAGCTCACATGTATCAATAAAAATTCCTTTCATCAGCAGGCTCCTCCTTTTGTGGAGATCATAAAAATTTAACCCTCTAAAGGTAAAAATACTACAAGCAATAACATGTAACAAATAAACAGTTATATTTATATACAATCAACATACATCTAACTTCCAAAAATTAAATGTGGGTTAGTCATTTAAGTTTACCAGAAAAGAGAGGAATCTAATTTTTACCAGAAACTAGGTGGATTTAAATTTATCAGAAAAAAGATGAATTTAATTTTACCAGAAACTAGATGGATTTTAGTTTACAAGAAAAGTGAAGGATTTAGTTTTACCAAAAAGTAATTGGATATAAGTTTACCATAGAAGAGAAGGATTTAATTTTACCAGAAAAAAAAAATTATTTTACCAAAAAGTAAATAAATTTAATTTTACCAGAAACTAGATTGTATTAATTTTATCAGAAACTAAATGGAATTAATTTTATTAAAAATTAAATTGATTTTAGTTTACCAGCAAAAGAGAATTTCTTAAAATTTTGCCAGAAGCTAAATAGAATTAATTTTACCAAAAAAAAAAAGGATTTAAGTTAAGTATTTTAAGTTTACAAAAAAAAAAAAAAAAAGAATCTTTAAAAATTTTACCAGAAACTAGATGGATTTTAGTTTACAAGAAAAGTGAAGGATTTTATTTTACCAAAAAGTAAATGAATTTAAGTTTACTAGCAAATTGGGGGGGGGGGGGGGGGGGAGGAGGGAGGGAGAAATAAAACAATTTTTTTCTTAATTATTCCATCAAAGAAAAAACTGACAAAGCTATCTAGTTGGTAATGATTTAATTATTACTGTAAATTATCTGTAGACAGTAGTAGTCCACAAATAATTAGTCAAGCTGTATTTTTGACAATGCATTATTATGGAGCAATGATTTAAATAAATTAAAAATAAACAAAATTTTTGTAGCAGTTAAAAATTTTCAGAAAATGGTTCAAATAGTTAACCAGGCCATAGATACACAAATGACTCATAAAAGGAATACAAGAACTAAGAAAATCTGATACCTGAAGTATCAGTTGCTCACATTCTATCACAAAACTAGCCTTCTCCAACATCAATCTCAAAAACCTTTCAAATATTATCTGTCTTTGTTGGTATTTATAAATGTATAATTGATGAGAAGTAACTCTTCTTTAAGAACATATTTTGGATCTATCAAACTATTAAAGTACTGTGTCTTAGTTCCTATGAGAAATACATCATGCTCCTGGTGATAGAACCTGTGAAAAGACAAGTTATGAAAAGTTTTTGAAAACTTTATTTACAACAGTTAAAAAAAAATGAAATCTAAAACAAACATTTTTTTTTTAATGTGGGTTAACTGTGGGTAAACTGACACAGCATCAATTGGTTAATAATATTGGTCTATGACACAATGTTCAAATATTCAATAGAGAGGTTGCACACATGTGATCAAAATCATGTGATATATGTGCCGCCATGTTGATGACCTAGCCTAGCACGGGTCCTCGCTATGTATTTTATAGTGCTAGTCCTAAGTTTATTTTAAAAACCTGCCACCCGCAGAACAGCAACAATATTTGTAGAAACATGAATTATTAAGGAACCTTTTTTGTTTTGTGACCAGCTGATAGACAATATGAATATAATAAATAACTGACCAAAAGTTAAACATCTGATCGAAAGTGTCAGACTCAAGAATACTCAAGATTCTAGATCTAGCTACAAGCTGAATTCTAGATCATTCACAACAATGCACTTTACTAGACTTTACACATGGACTTTATTGTAAATAAATTATGGAGCCACTGGAAGCATTGTCGTTGTAGCCAAGGTAAGTTCATTCTTCTAGTTATTTTTAATTTAGTAATATTTAGTTAGTATATTTAACTTATTATAGATCAAATAATTTCTTAAATTTTGCCTTGTCCTTAGAATTAACTGGAATCCTGGGCAAATAATGTAAAATATAAAATTATTTTAGTATAAGATTTAGACTACATACTATTACATTTAATAATGGGCATTGTGATGGGGGGATTTATGTATATATTATACATTATATATCATCTATATATTCTGACTTCTATTATTCATACTGCAACTATTAAACTTGTGAAGGAGGATGGGAACACTCTTATTTTCCGCAGACACTATGAACGATATTAACAACTTCGTTCATGAAATAGCATTAAATTTATAATTACACTCTTATAGATCTATTACACAATATCAAAATACGTCCTTTTTCTACAATGGCTTATCCCCAACTGTCTTCACTGCTGCGTCCTACGTCATCGATAACATTGTCGCGTCATGCTCACGTCACAAATATTTTATTTAACACGCGCACAATACTCTCTACCGTCAAGTTTATACTGTCCTTAGTAACCTCTACTTGTCTAGTCTAATTCTATTTACCTACGCTATGATAGGCATAAATGTTTTTTTTAAATTATTCATACCCAGTTGACTTACAGCCGACGTCAATAACTTTAATTACTTGAATTATATTTATAATTAATTAATTTATAATTAACATCATGTTAATTAGTGCTTAATTTATTTTGCAGGTTTGGGTATTCACTGAAAGCATTAAAAAAGCTTGTTGAGCCAAGGATTCTGAGTGAACAAGGTGGACTCTATACCGCTACAGAAACTGCAAGTACACAAATCCAACACCGACTTGGTCGAGGAGGTTCCTCTCTAGAAGAGCCCATGATGCCTACTACTGAAAGCCTATAGGAAGCTAGTTTGCTGACAAATCTACTAACGCCCAAGACTAAAACCAGATTAGGGACCTGGAACATCAGAACCTATATGAAAGCAGCAGATCAGCCCAGGTCGCCAAAGAAATGAGGAGGTATAAATTAAAAGTCCTAGGATTAAGTGAGACACGATGGAATGGCAGTGGCCAAACTAGGTTGGTCTCGGGAGAGACTGTCATCTACTCAGGTCACGAGGACGAAGATCATGAACACACGCAAGGTGTAGCCATAATGATGTCTCCAGAAGCAACAAATGCTGCAACAGATGAAGAGAAAGAGGACTTCTACAGCGCCCTGCAGGCTCAAATCGACAAATCACCAAAAAGAGATATAAAGATAGTAATGGGAGACATGAATGCCAAAGTTGGAACAGAAAATAAAGATTGGGAGCTCACAATGGGGAAAAATGGAATTGGCATAATAAATGAAAACGGGGAACTCTTTGCTGATTTCTGCGCATTTAGTGATCTAATTATAGGGGGGACAATTTTCTCTCATAAAGATATATATAAGACCACCTGCACGTCACCCAATGGCAAAAAAAAGAACCATATGATCACATCACAGTTTCCAGAAAGTGGAGAAGAAGTTTAATGGATGTTAGGGCGAAACAAGGTGCAGATGCAGCCTCAGACCACCAACTCATGGTTGCAATACTAAAATCAAAACTAAAATCCTACAGGGATCGAGGTGATAAACCGCATTTTAAATTCAATACAACATATCTTAGGAGCCCAAAAATAAAGGAAGACTTTAACTGCGCAGTAAAAAATAGGTATGAAGCACTCTCCAGCCTGGCAGAAGAAACAGTAGAGCAAAAATGGCTAGGAATACAGGAAATATGGAAGTCAACATGCACTGACATATTGGGGAGAAGAAAAAATGAACAAAAAGAATGGATCACTACAGAGACATGGGCCAAAATTGAAGATAGAAAAGAGATAAAGCAGAAGATGAACAAATGTAAGGATGAAAAAGAGAAAATAAACCTCAGAACACATTATTGTGAAGTAAATCGCATGGTCAGGAAAAGTGCAAAAGAAGACAAAAGACAGTTCATACAAGAGATGATAGCGGAGGCAGAAACTGCAGCAAGACAAGGAAAAATGAAGAGGCTCTATGACGTAACCAGGACACTATCAGGCAAGAATATTAATCCCAACAAACCAATAAAGAATAAAGTAGGAAATATCTTAACAAGTGACACAGAACAGAGTGACAGATGGGTACAGCACTTTGATGAGATTTTAAACCATCCTCTCTCATCAAACATCCCTGATATACCACCTGCAAATCACTTACTAAATGTGTGTACAGATTCACCCACAAAGTTAGAAACAATAAGAGCAATAAAAAACATGAAAAATGGCAAAGCAGCTGGCCCGGACTGCATCCCACCAGAGGCACTTAAAGCAGACCCAGCCATATCAGCAGACATATTACATCCTCTACTTAAGCAGATTTGGGAAGAAGATATAATCCCATCTGACTGGAAACTGGGATACCTGATAAAATTGCCAAAGAAGGGAGACCTGACACAATGCAACAACTGGAGAGGGATAATGCTTCTTTCAGTCCCAAGTAAGGTGCTGACATGAATCATCCTAGAGAGACTTAGAGATGCCCTTGGACAAAAAGCTGAGACAAGAACAAGCTGGTTTTCATCAAGACAGGTCATGTACTGACCAAATTACCACGCTGCACATCATTAGTGAACAGTCCCTTGAGTGGCAATCCCCCTTATACATGACTTTTGTCGACTTCAAAAAGGCGTTTGACAGTGTGAATAGAGATGTTATCTGGAAGTTAATGAGCCACTATGGAATACCCAAAAAATGTATATCTATCACACAGAAACTATATGAAGACTCCACCAGTCAGGCAATACACAAGAGAAAACTAACAAAACCATTCATGGTGACGACGGGAGTAAGACAGGGATGTATGCTATCGCCAATGATATTCTTGAAGGTAATCGACTGGATCATGCTGAAAACCACAAAAAACGACACAGGAATCCAATGGAGTTTCACCAAAAAGCTGGAAGATCTTGATTTTGCCGATGACATCTGCCTACTATCTCACAAGCATCAACATATGCAAGCCAAACTAAATCGGCAATCTGAAGAAGCCTCCAAAGTTGGACTAAAAATCAATAAAAATAAAACAGTGGTCATCAGAATCAATAACAGCCAGGACCTGCCCATACAGCTAAATGGAGAAGATTTACGTGAAACAAACACGTTCACATATCTGGGAAGCGTGATCAATAAGGACGGGGGAGCAGACAAGGACATAAAATACCGTATCAACAAGACTAGATGTGCCTTCAACTCACTGCGCCAGATGTGGAGGTCCACGGCCCTGTCATTCCAGAGCAAAATTGGGATTTTCAACACAAATGTCAAGGCAGTGCTGCTCTATAGCTCGGAGACTATGAGGGTTACGAAGACAAATACTGATAGGCTACAGGCATTCGTAAACAAATGCTTACGACATATACTTAAAATAAGATGGCCAGACAAAATATCAAATAAAGACCTGTGGCAAATTTTAAAGCAACAGCCAATAGAGAAAGATATAAAGGCCCGTAAATGGGGATGGATCGGACACACATTAAGAAAGGAAAAAGAAAACATCGCAAGGCATGCTTTAGACTGGAATCCCCAGGGAAAAAGGAGGGTGGGCCGGCCAAGGAAGACATGGAGAAGAACGGTTGAAGAAGAGGCGAAAGCAGCTGGGCACACATGGGCACAGATTAGGGGAGCAGCCCAAAACCGAGTCCGCTGGAGATGTGTGGTTGCAGCCCTTTTCTCCCCAGGGGCCACAAAGGAATGATGATGATGAAGGTGGACTCATTATGGCTACCCGCTGCAATTAAATGGATGAATTTGCAAAACTTTTTCTAATATAAAAATAAAATAAAAAACAGAATTAATGAATTGTTTTTATTTGTATCATATTTAAAAATTTACAAGCTGAACCTTCAAAATTTCCAGTTTTTGGTTCCTGTTAAATTTTTTAATCCTTTTAAATTTTTGGTTCAGATTATATTTCCGGTTCCTATTAAATGTAAATTTCTGGCAAATGAGCTGTTTAGATATTATTGTTTTAGTTTAAACTGAGCTTTAGGAGTTTGGGATTTTGGTTTTGGTTTCAGTTTAGAGAGAAAAAAACCCACTATCAACCTAGCACCGGTTGTATTTCCCCCCTCAAAGCAGCAATTATCTAGTTAAAATAAGCACACAAGCTCCATATTGTAAATCATTAAGGATAATTCAGAGTATAAATACAATTAAAACTTTGGAGTGATCAATAGAGAAAAATTATGTTATTTATGAATCAAGTTTAAAGCTACATCACATACCTTAGCAATCCATTGTGCAGATTTTTAGGCTGATAATTATCTAGAGTAACAAGACCAAAACACTGACAAAGTTTAATCAGTAAGCTGTAGTCATCTGTGCTATTCTGATAGTAGTTGATAACAAGTGGACCCCTGTTTCATTTAGAATGAACTTTTAAAATCTAGTATATAGTTTTCAAATCCAAAGGTAAAATAAAAAATACAATCCTCACTAACAGCATATTTTTTAGTAAATACTTTATTTAGCATAGAACAAATTAGCAAATACAACTCACTGAAATGATTTCATATCAGGGGGAGAAGATAACTGTTGAATACAGGGGAGTAAATCAGCTGGTAGAACAACAGAGCTGACATCAATTTGTCCATGCAGGAATGTTTCATACTCGGTGGAGATCAAGTGGGATATGTCTAAACTTGCTGGTTGCAATTCCCTTGATAAATTTTATGAGTGAGCATAGAAAATGGCCTAACTTTAAAGGGTTTTACGTCAATAATCAAACAGTCTTCTATAAAAACTTCTTCTATCTTACAAAAAATTCCCACTTACTAAAACAATATATAATTATAATACTAGCTGCATACCAGTGCTTTGCTACGGTGAATCTTTTTTTTTTAATGTACCAATTTGGGAACAGAACAAAACCAAACACAAACAAAAACAAAATGCAAAAAACAATCAAAAACGCAAACACAAATGAAACCTCAAACAAAAACAAACACAATGCAAACTTAAACAAAAACGCCATACACAAACATAAACACAAAAGAAAACACAAACACAAAAAAAACCACACAAATGCAAACTCAAACAAAAACGCAAACACTATATCAAATTGGGGACGGAATGGTCGAGCAGTAGAGTTGGACTTCTAATCCGTAAGTCTCGAGTTCGAATCCTGGTTCAAGTCGTTAGACCGTCCCTGAGTCCACCCAACTCTGATGGGTACCTAACTCACGTTAGGGAAAGTAAAGGTGGCTGGGCATAGTGCTGACCACACTATCTCTTCATATGCCGGGGTCACAGAAACAAGTAAACTCTACTTCACTTACTCTATAGACCATCAGGTTTGAAAAGGGAACTTTAATCTTTTACTTTATATCAAATTACTTTTTCTGAACGTCCGTGCCCAGAGAGCCTTTCCCACATTCTCTAATTTAACCATCCCTTTAAATAACATAAAAATAAATTATGATTTTAAGAGATCATAGAAATTTTTTTTAAAATATATAAAAATCTGTGCCGACTAATTAGAAAATGATATAAATAATGTTAACATTAATCTTTTTTAATTATGAGCCATAACATATAATAATCAATAAGGTAGGAATAACAAATTTTTTAAACTTATATACTTTTAATAGCAATATTTAGAGCGATTTGAATGTATTTTTAAGTTACCTCCTCTGGCATAATTATTAAAAATTTTAATTGATTACTTTTATTGGACACTACTTTATTAACATGAATCCAATTTTTCTAGGCATATAAGCAAAATATTATTTGACATTAATCTGTGTGTGTATTTAATATGTTCTTGTCACACTTTTGTTGACATATGAAAAAAGAGTAAAAACTTAGTGGAGTATTAAAAATTTAAGTCGTTACATAGATAGACCCTACTCGAAGACTTATAAAAAGACAATGCAATGCAAGTAAAATGTGTTGATGTTACTTTAATGGTTTCAAAATCTATAGCGGTGATGGCCTAAGTGACACTACCTTGCAGCTTGCTTATATTATAGATATTCTTTACCAGCTTAATAGGTTAAAAACTCACAGGAATGTTTTACGTGGTTTTAGAAATAAATTTCTGGCAACATCTGTGAGAGCTTGAGCACCATCAAATGGTGTTTTATAAACCCGTGAAACATCAGGCATCAACATTTCCAAACCTTGAGTCTCCATATGCCAACCAAACCATGCCCTAAAACACAGGGCAAAGTTACATCCAAATTTATAATATGCTTACTTAAGACTACCAACATATAAACATATTAATGATTTAAAATAATTTCCATACACCTCTCATATTCATACACTTACACATAATTTAGAATCACATCTTAATATTTAACATTTT